AATTTTGTGGGATGGGGTGATTTACATGAAGATAGGGGACTGTGGCAAGCAGGGTATTTGTTTTATCGGGGAAATACGTCAGCAAATCGTGTGCACATGATAATTTAAACAAAATAGCGTGATGTATTTTACCCTAATTTTGTGTAGAATTACTAAGAATAAAAACATCGTAAGTTATGGATTAATCGTATACTTGATTCGTTCTTGGGTTGGGCTGGGTTCGTATACCGAATAGCTCGAACTCTCGAACAAAGGGGGTTCACTCTCTTGTTTTTCGGCTTATTCATCGAAGCATAAAACGAAAAACTAATATATTTTTCTCTCGTTGATTGTAAAGCTGGTAAACTGTTATCTGAAGCTATCATAAAGTACTTCCTATCCAGTATTTAATTATCAACTTCAGCTATTTGCATACATCAATAACGTTGTGTGACCAGCTATACATTTGTCTCCCCTGTTCCTCCATCAAGTGATAAAATGGTTTCCATTTGTCTAAAGCAAGATCCAGTGTGGGTTGATTTATCGTTCACTAGTTAAGCTTGTCTTGAAAGATGCCCAGGATATTTATATTATAAATGGTTGTTTGAGTGTAAATTAAATACAAGTGGTTGGGAGAATTTTTATATAGAATCTTCTTTAAAAATAGGGGTGTTAGGTTACTGGTAGTTAACGAAATACACACATTGCTGGCTAATGTCAATGCTAACCCTATCCCTAACCCCAACCCTAGTCCTACTATACGCCTAACCCTAATTTCTAACCATAAAATTAGTCGAGATTACAACACTACTAACAACCCAACACACCTATTTTATGGAAGAGTCTATTATCGGACATCGGTATTTAAAAATCATCCGGCAAATCTTTTTGCTGCATAATTTCTGCGCATTGTTAAAGAACAAGACGTAGTCTACAATTCTATTTTTTTTTTAAAAGAAATCATATTCACGTTTACAATTTCATAGAAAAGTTCAAGATATAAACCATATTAGAATATTTGATGACATTACTTAATCATATTCCCCCCCCCCCCCCCCCCCGAAGGAACATATTGTGTTTTTACAACGCGACAACTCGGATTACTAAAGCTTCTAGCTTAAATATTTATGAGTTAAATTAAACTTACCCTAAATAGCTAAGACAGTTTGTTTACATGTCAGACAAAAGATCACATTGATATCATTATAACATAATATGAAGTAATATCCATAGCTGTAATTTTTTATCTTAATTTAAAAGAATGTTTTTGAAAATATTAAAACCCATGAATTAGAAAACCTAAATGGACGCCATCCATATATTTTTTTTTTGTTAAACTCATAAAAAAAACAAAATAAAATCGAACGAATAAGACGACGGAGAACCTGTACTTTCAAAGTCCTTGTCAAGACAGAATAGAAGTTTTTTTTCTGTCATCATTGTTGGTACTTAATAACCAGCAATAGGTGTAATTGCCAGCTGGTACACTTAAATGGTGATGTAACTAATGGTTCCCGGAAAAATGCGCAGTCGGTAAATTGCGCAACGGAAAATGCGCAACCAGAAAAACGCACAAGTACAAACTAATTAAAGTAACACACTTTTAATTTTTTCATATTTCATGGAAAAGTGTTTTATTATGCTACAATTTACATGTGGTCATTCTTTGTTTATATCTATACATTCTCGAATGGAGAAAACAACACACACACACACACATACACACACACACACACACATATATATATATATATATATATATATATATATATATATATATATATTATATATATAATATATATATATATATATATATATATATATATACATATATATATATATATATATATATATATATATATATATGAATTTTATATCGCTATAACGCCTACAAGTGGCTACCTTAGACAGCATTTTCCCAGGTAACTGAATTGTAACGACATCCAACCATACGCCACCAACTGTTACAACCTGTTTTATCGGCTCCCACCTGCCCGTCTCGCTGCACTGATTACCATCAACCTACAGGTGTGTTCGACACCGTTTCTATGACTGCTTAACAATTATATAAAACAATTATAGAGAACAATTATGATAGAGCAGATGTAGAGAATAAAGAATAAAAGGTGGCCTTATGGGGTTAGTAAAAGATGAGTGTTAAACATTCTTTAGAACAATTTTGAGGATAAAACAGTGGGTTCTCTGGAGTTAGTCGGGGGGGGGGGGGCTGTTAAACAATATATGGAACTGCGTTGTAGGATAGCAGAATGCTAACCCGAAATCATCGAGTTCGGATCCCTGGCTCAAATCTGTGTGTGTGTGTGTGTGTTTGTGTTTGAAGAGAGGGCGAGAGCAATGATTTGTTATTATTAATTATTATTTTTTTAGACACTGAAATATTTTGAAAATTACAGACATAAATCACAACGAGTGCGCCCCTAGCCCATGGCGGTAATTTAACGTGACGCATCTTTCATTTTTGTGAGTCCGGGAGAAGAGCTGTACCCCTCCCCACCACACCTCCTCCCACCCACACACCATATACTACCTACGCCACCGGAATAATAACACCAGCAACTTTAAATCCCACTGCGTGTAATTCGTCACGCTTCATTGATCCGCGCATTTTTCGACTCGTCGCACCGTTCCACGCCAACCCCCTCCCCCCCGTGACCTTTCACCTTTAACCTGTATGCCTAATACAAAAAGGTTATCAGATTGTAAACACGGTACAATGTCAAACTGACTAGTGATTCAGTGAAGACTCAGCATTGAGATATTTGGTCTACTTTTTTTATTTTATTTGTCACACTAACTACAAAATCTGTCCGCGAGCTGTTGCCGGTGTCTTTTCTTGTGAGGGAAGAATGAGAGGATTGGGGACAGTAACACATGCATGTGTTGTGTACGTGTGATGTGTACATGTGGACACTAGTTGTCGTACACCGTGTACACACTTGTACGAGTTTTTTTTTTGTGAATGCTCCCGGTACTGTTGTGGTATGGGCTTGGCGACGGCAGATCCTGTTTTGTAAGTGTATTTATTATTTTTCGCTAGATCGTTATGTGACGTTTTGATTTAAACTCAAATTGGGGTATGTGCTATATCAGTGTCAGATAATGCCTTAGTAATAGAATCTTCTTTAAAATGGGGCGTTAGATTACTTGTAGTTAACTAAATACAAATACGACTTGCTAATCTCAACGGTAACCATATCCCTAAACGAAGTCCTAACCCTAATCCTACATACCATAGCCCTAACCCTAGTCCTATCATAGCCCTGACTCTAGTCCTACCATAGCCCTGACCCTCGTCCTACCATAGCCCTGACTCCTACCATAGCCCTGACTCCTACTATAGCCAATACTCCTAAAATAGCCCTGACCCTAGTCTTACCATAGCCCTGACCCAGTCCTACCATAGACCCTAGTCCTACCATATAACTCTAGTCCTACCATAGCCCTGACCCTAGTCCTACCATAGCCCTAACCCTATTCCTACCATAGCCCTGACCCTAGTCCTACCATAGCCCTAACCCTAGTCGTACATACCAATGCACTGATCTTAATCTCAAAGCGTAATGTTAAACAGGAGCTTACAATACTACTAATAGCCCAATGCACCCGATATCTGAAGTGGTTATTGTCGGACTATATGCCTACTCCCCTAAGATGAATTATTCAAAACGTGTGATAATAATGCTTAGCTATGCATATTCTTTACTTACAATAGTATATTGTCACCCTTAGAAATATACTTTATCTTTATTATTATTACGCATATTACTCTAAGTTTAAGACATACCTAAACCTATAAAGATTTCTTTTTAGATCTAGCGATCCATTGGGGCAGGTGAAGTAGAGTTTATATGTTTCTTGACCTCGGCATATGAAGGGATGGTGTGGTCAGTACTATACCCATCCGCCTTTACTTTCTCCAACGTAAGTCAGGTACCCGTTAAAGCTGGGTGGACTCAGGAATGTCCTACATCACAAGCCCGAAAACTAAACATATACGCTAAACATAGTTTTTAACCCAACTGTAAACACTAACCTTAAAACAATCACAAACCTGAACATCTACCCGATCTTCATAAAGCCTTAACCTAACCAAAAATAACCTAACCAAAAATAACCTAACCAAAAATAACCTAACCAAAATAACCTAACCAAAAATAACCTAACCTTATGTGTTATAGATCTTGGTCAATAAACACCATTCATAACATCAGCCTTCTCGCGATGTCTTTTATTAAACAAACACTGGCACAAATAAATAATACCAACTTGACTTGCAAACAGATTATTGATCTGGTCATTCTATTTTAAGACTCAACTCACATGCAAGCCTAGGCCTTAAGTTTAATTCACCAAACTAATAAGCAAAGCATCTCTTCTATTAGGGGGGCGATCTTGAGTAATTTTACTCTTATTTAATGAATTCCCTCATATCCATCGTTACAAAACGTACCACCACCTCCCCCCTGAAAATGACATCACATTTCAGTTCCTTTATTACAATTGTTTTTTCTGTCTTGTAACATTTTTTTTCAAAAATATTAACTGTGTATTGATAATTTTTTAAATCATTTTGCTAAATGAGTTTCATAAAATACTTTTTAAAATAAAATTATTTGTCGTCTCGTCACTCTTTCTTACATCCTCTCCGTGTCGTCACACATTGTCACAAAAGTCAGAATTCCACCTCCCCCCCCCCCCCACCCCTTTTTCACCTTGTCCCATGTGAGTGTAATGTCATTTAGGGACGACCAGTTTAAAAAAAAATCTTTAAAAATATAATAAAAAACTTATTTATGCCTACTTACTTATAAAATATATTTCTTTTATAGTGTTATCATCAATTCTGTCATTTGACTTATTTGGCCCAATCGTCTTTAATCATTGTGGAACATAGGGCCTCAAGTTAAAATTTTCACTTTGTCCGGTCGCCGGCTATTTATTTTGCACTCTTGAATTATTATGCCATTTAAATCATGTTATTTCTCGGTGTTTTATAACAAAGTTTCTCCAATGAATAAAAATGTGCTTTGTGGTTAAATCTTGGTGCAATGACAAAATGCCACAGACAAAACTTTCCTTGGCATTATAATTCGATCCTATAATCGGACCTTGTCAAAAGAGCCCTAAACAAAAAGATTCTGACACAGAGTCCGTTTTTTAAATGCCCCTTGCGAACTTGCTCCCGATAAAAGACCCACGACTTTATGTTTCTCTATAAAACGACACGGACACTTCAATTCAAGAAGAGTCCACGACAATACGACTCTTAACAAAAGAACCTCTAACAATTTCTACCAGAATATAACTTAAATTATATTTAAAAAATTATGAAGTTTCTAAAATTAATTTTTAAATAAATTCAGTTATGTTTCTGGTTTCAAATAACCGCTCAGGGCTGGAGCTCTGATCCGCACAGAGTGACACCAAATTTTAAAAAAATGTAAAAATCTACTGTCGAAACAAAGTTTTATTCAGCAAAATAATTAATATAGTATAGGAGAAGGGAGATGGCATACCTAAAATACAAAGTTTTTGGAAAAGGTTGGGTGACACCCGCCCTTGTGACAAACATTCTATTAGAGTACCACCCTGTGTAGTTTAAGAACCACTGCAATAGTATTAAGTAGTTTAAGAACCATTGCTAAAGTATTAAGTACCCCCAATGTAGTTTGCAGATGATCTTGCCTTACTCTCGCACAGGCTACAGGACATGCAGGAAAAAGTTGATGCATTAGGAGCCATCTCGCAGCGCGTAGGTCTCAAGATCAACAAAGAAAAGACGGAAATGATGAGAATTAACAATAATCAGGAGGCTCCAGTGTCAATAGACGGAAGACAGGTAAATGATGTGCAAGAGTTTGTCTACCTTGGCAGCAAGATCAGCAAAACGGGAGGCACAGAGGAGGACATACGCGCTAGAGTTAATAGAGCCCGCTGCGCTTTCACAGTCCTGCGACCCATATGGAAAAGTTCGGCCATCTCCATTACCACAAAAATTAGGATATTTAACTCTAATGTCAAGGCAGTTCTGCTGTATGGAGCAGAGACATGGAGAGTCTCCAAGGCAAGCACAGCAAAGATACAGACCTTCATGAATAGATGCCTTAGACAGATACTGAAACTGAGATGGCAGGACAAAGTGCCGAACTTGGAACTATGGAGGAAAGCTAGGCATGAGCCTATAGGTGTGCAAATAAGAAGGAGGAAGTGGCGCTGGGTGGGTCACACACTGCGAAAGGCTCACACAAATGTTACACGCCAAGCGCTTGAGTGGAACCCCAGGGAAAGCGGAAGAGAGGGCGCCCAAGACAGACCTGGAGGCGGAGTCTTCTTGAAGAACTGAAGCCAATAGGGATGTCTTGGGAGATGTCAAAATTAATAGCCGAGGATAGGAAGAAATGGAAGGAAATGGTGGAGGCCCTATGCTCCATAAGGAGCAAAGAGGACTAATAAAATAAATAATAATAATGTAGTTTAAGAACCACTGCTATAGTATTAAGTACCCCCCATGTAGTTTAAGAACCACTGCTATACTATTAATTACCCCCCTGTGTAGTTTAAGAACCACTGCTAAAGTATTAAGTACCCCCGTGTGTAGTTTAAGAACCACTGCTATAGTATTAAGTACCCCCTGTGTAGTTTAAGAACCACTGCTCTAGTATTAAGTACCCCTATGTAGTTTAAGAACCACTGCTATAGTATTAAGTAGCCCCCCCCCCCCATATAGTTTAAGAACCACTGCTATAGCATTAACGGGATTTTCCAGGGGATATACACGCGATTGATTTCACCCTCCCGTTATCAGCGTGCGACAGGGCATAATGGACGGGACATCGCACAATGTAAACTTGGATCAACACACGTGTCAACACGCGGAGGGTAACACCAGGTTTTTTATTGTTCGGAGCAACACAAAAGTTGGACTGGCAAAGATGGTGGAGATGGGGTAGTTACGGTTAGGTTTATGTGTAGGAGGAGGAATTGGTTAAGTCCGGCTCTTTGAATGAATTCACTTATGATGTATGATTTTAGTGGCGTCAACATGTTTTTGTTGTTTAATTAATTAATAAATTTTTTTTGGCATCACGGGTAGTAGCAAAAATAAACATATTTAAAAAGACGCCAACCTTTTCCCTAAGAATATATATATATATATATATATATATATATATATATATATATATATATATATATATATATATATATATATATATATATATATAGGCCTATATATATATATACATATATATATATATATATATATATATATATATATATATATATATATATATATATATATATATATATATATATATATATACATACACATATATATATATATATACATACACACACACACACACACACACATATATATATATATATATATATATATATATATATATATATATATATATATATATATATATATATATATATATATATATATTAATACTAATAGTTTCGCTGTCTCTCTATCTATCTATCTGTCTGACAAGAACGCTCTAGAGAAAACACAAGGAAAATAAAAACATGCATAGTAATTCGAAAAACGAAGTATGACGTCGACACATTTAGCGCACAGAGTAGAAAATAATCTCAAGCCGGATAGTGCACACATTGATATGACGTCATTGATTTGGTCTAATTTGGTCTAATCTAAGTGGTTTGCGTGAAGTTTCTTTCATACAATTCTTCGGGTAGGGGCGAAGCCCCACCCCCGCGTAAGAACGTCTGAGCCCCCCCCCCCCCCTCTCCCCAACTCTCCTCATCGATACTCTATAATAAAATTACCGCCTAATTAATGTGTCTAATCTAAAAAGTGGTTTTCTTGCAATTTCTTTAATGCAATTCTTCGCGTAGTGGCTATGCGCGACACCAGTGTTTCTTTCAGACTTTTTCCTCCACGGAGAGGGGTGAGGGTACTTGAAATTTTCGGGGGCGGGGGGTAGAATTTTCGGGGAGGGGGCGGACACTGGAAAAAGTAAATAATTATATTTCGTTGAATGG